GTCAATCCGTATTCCTTCAGTCTGCGAGCAATATTATGAAACGTTCTCTCAGATAGACCGCCACAACAGATCCAGTCAAGATGATCTCGGACTGGAAAAGAAGTTTGAGGTCAAGGAGTGATCTATGCGTGTCAACCCTTCCCTGTTGGCCATTTGCATCGTAGATGCTTGGAAACTGTATGCAGGTGCAAAAGGAGGTGGTTCTAAGATGTCTCCCAATCAGTTCTACTGTGGGCTTGCTGACCAGTTAATTGACAACAAGTATGATCGTATATCATTACATCAGCGAGAATCAGACATTGCAGTTGAAGATGAGGATATAGGCTCTGGAAGTGGAATTGGTACGCACTTGAATCCAACGACTCGCAAACGCAAAAGTGCTTCTGGAGAGGAGCTTAGTGATCTTTATCAATCTAGATGCAATATTTGCAAAGGTACAAGGAAATTGAAGTTTATGTGCTCCGCTTGCAAGTTCTATTTTGACAAAGAAGTATATCTATGTCATCACTGTGGGATAACTCCTCTCCGCCCTGGGTTGGGTGAGAGGCGGAGGCTTTAGCGAGGGAGAACGCGGCGCGGACACGACGCACTAATTGAACCGGTCGGACGAGCTCGCGAAAAGGGAGTGGCTCACTGGCCGGTCACGCGCAGTCGCCCCGTGGTGCGTAAACGGGAGCGACCGGTAACGGGTTAGAAGCCAGCGCGCGCGATAGACAACCGAAACGGACGTACGTAGGCGCGAAAGAGACGGGGGCGAGCTTGCCCCAGTTTACTGGTGGGGACGGGTGTCAGGTCTTAACCCCTCAGAGAGACGCCTCGGACACCTGTCTCAGTGTACAGTACCTGCCGCCTAGTGCGTACCAGGCACTGTACGCAATTAAAAAACTAGCCCCTCAATTCCTAATTACCGCGCGGACGCTGCAGCTACACGTGTGTACTGCTGTACACACGCGCTGCTTACAGACTACTGCACGGATGCCACGTGTGCTAGCGTACACGCGTAATACTAGCAGACTACCGCTTGGCCAACACGTGCACTACTGTACACGTACGCCAGATTACGACCGCTCGGCACGCGCGCGCTCCCTACACGTGGGCACACCCACCCACGTGTCCACCGTGCACGGCCGCACGGTTAATAATCTCCCCGCGCGCGCGTCCGTCGTTGTACTATAATCACCAGACCGGGCGTGATTGCTTTAAGAAACACGTTGACGAACGTCACGATCTTACTTTAAAAGGTAAGTACTATTAGTTCTAAAGCTACTCTTAGCCTTTAAAATCGACTAAATTTGTCAGTATTGGAGCAAAAGAGAGCAAAAAGAGATAAAAAACTCCTGTCGCTCCCTATGATTCTATCCTGCGTCTAAAGACTTGCTTGGAAGACCTGCAGCCTTTTCGGAATGCCTGTTCATGAGATGCCACCGTATTCAAGCTCTTGTTCGAGTGGGCGCTGTACAGCGTGCTGGGCTGCAGGTTGTAGTGCAACCTACGCCTATGACTAGGTACAACTCCCAGCCAGATTTGCATGTGTGCTTTTCTTTAAAGAGCACGAAGACGCGGTAAGCTTGTTCAATTTGAATACTTACACTTCATTATGTGTCTTGAAAGGGCGTGTAATTAATTTGCCGAGTTCATATTATATCTTGTCGTGCTTTAATTGGAGTAAAGTCGACAGAATAGCGAGCACAACTTAATTTTGTCACCGCTGGGCATCTCGCCGACAGCGGGAATGTGTACATAAACTCTGGTCTCAAGACTGAGCAGTAAAGGTATCGCGCTACGGACTAACGAACCGTCAGAGCGAGGTGCCCTCCCTACGCTTCTGCGAGTTGCCACAAGGTTACAGACAAGAACCATCGAGATCCCCGAAGGTATTTCTCGACCACTATAAGTGCCCAGCGACGATTTGAACCCCAACTTCTCAGACTCAGCGATCCGTGCAGACCACTGAGCTGGCTTGTCAATTACTAACTAGCTGTTTATAGTTGTATATATAGTTGTTCAAAGTTATACTTGGTAAAAATTGTGCTCCTTTTGTTCTGAAGTGGCGAAAATCTTAATTTTTGTTTAAAGTTTACTGTAGAGCATTTGACCTCAAATGAGGCAAATTGCAAGTCGTCTAGACACTACAGCGGGTTGCCCTAAAGTCCGGACAAATGCCCTAAACCCCGGACACAAGCTAATTCTGCAAATTTTATTCGGAATCATGATTCGGGCCCTCCTGACCACCATAAAGGGTCTCTCCGGGTACCTTCAGGGCGCTTTCAGCAGTAAACCATTCGTCGCCACGTCATACCGACCTCGCCACTGGATTTCTTGCCGTTCAAAATTGTAGAATGGCGCCTTTTTTCCACGCCAATGTTGGGGTGGGGCTCGCAGGAGCTGGTTAAATGATTTTCGCCAGAGCTCAATGGCCGGTGAGAGCTCACACCCTTGACCGCAATGAAAACCGAATGCGCGGGTTCTGCGTGCATTTCAATAAAGGCATCAGCACGCGATGGAGAAACGTGTTCGACGAGACGTGAGAAAGGACCGACACGAAGCCAAAACCGTCCAACTATGCATCTAAGGCGCTATTAGTTTGCGTAAGGCAGCCGCAGAAGCACAAATTCCTAAATCAACTCTGCATGATCGCGTTGCGAAGCATAAAAAATCGGATCGAGTAGCAAGCAAACGCCCACGGCGTCAGCCAGATTTAGCGGCAGAAGAGGAGCAGACCCTGGTCGACTGGCTCCAATATTTTTCAGACATGGGCTGTCCTCTGAATCAAACGGACCTCGTCGAGGCCGTGAACGAGCTTGTGAAAAAAATGCCTGGAGAACGACGCGCGAAGTTGCGGTTTAAAGACGGAGTCCCAGGAAAGAAGTGGGTTCGAGGATTCAATGCTCGACATAAGGGAGAGATTAGATTTGGCAGAGCATCAAAGCAGGAGGCTGTGAGGTGTAAGGCGTGCAATGGTGAGACCCTCACAACGCATGTAGCCGCACTGGAAGACCTTTTTGAGAGATGGGGATTTGATGCTCGCCGTGTTTACAACATGGACGAGGCCGGCTTAACGCCTGGAAAAGATGTGGCTGGCACCACAACAAAGAAGACATACACGCGCGCTGGCATCCGTGGACAGCACCCCGGTCCGCTTTTTCTCCATGTCGATCGATTAATGTTGATGGCGTCCATTTGCGCAGATGGAACCATTGGTACAAATATGTTTATGATTGAAGGCACCGGTCTACGGACGAGAACGATAAAGAGGAACGGCAAAGAAGTCACTGAGACAATCGCGGATTGCCTCCCACGCCATGCTCTACTCACAGTACGCCCAGATGTTGTAGGACGTGACAAGACAAACGTTCTCGAATGGGTCACACATTTTGTCAAAAGCGTTAAGGATCTCACGAGAGGCGATCGAAAGGTCTTGCTCATCTACGATGAGTACCGCAGTCATCTTCGCTTCAAGGTCCTCCTCACTCTCAAAGAGGGCGGTGTGATTGCTTACTGCTTACCAGCACACACAAGCGGCACAACACAGCCCCTGGACGTTGGCGTGTTTTCCCCATTCAAAAGCATCTTGAATGATCTCATCTACTCAGTGGCAAGCAGCAACAAGTCCATGGTTTACGACCAATTTGACTTTGCTCGCTTTCTCACGCAGGCCATGCCAACTTCGTTCACAAAAGAGAACATAGAGGCAGTGTTCAGACGAGCTGGAATCTTGCCAATAAATCCGCTAGTTCTCTTGCAACGCCCACTTCCAGGGACCAGTGACGAAAACGCGAGGCCCTTGTCCGTGACAGAACTGACCCAGAAGCTTGAGGAGAAACGAACTATGATCAGGGTTGGCTTGGACATTCAACAGACGACACTCCGCAGAGGCTTTATTGACACACAAGTCGGTCTGGCAGTAACTAGTTCTGCAGTTTTGGAAAAGGTGCAGGCGCAGGACGTTGCTTATGCACAAAAAAGGCCGAAGAGAAAAGGAAGAGGAAGGCCAGAGTGGAAAAGGCCAGAGCAAAGACCATCGCAAAAGAGCAGGCCCGCAAAGGGAGGGAAATGAAGGATAACATGCGAAGGGCGCTGATCAACACAATCCCGCTTGCTCAGTAGATGGCCATGCCCCGTGGCACACTGAAGGAGCGTCGCGACGCCGCAAAGAAGAGGACCTTGGACATGGCGAAGATTGTTGGTGCATCTTTCCCGACGGTGCCACAACTGTGGGCTCGACCCCCCCACCCACCCCCCCCGGCTTCCCAAATTAGGAAATTTGAATGATTCTATATGATAAGCTGTCCGGATTTTAAGACACCTCTGGCTGAAGAAAGGCCTCTCAGACTCTTCCCCAGGCGTTCCCACAAATACGGCGAAAGTTGATCAATCGCGACCAATCAAACGTGGCTGTGTTCGTCACATCGCTTAGGAGTAACTGCTGAAGTTACGATGCGAGAGCACAATCTTTTGTACTTTAAAATTAAATTTTGTTTAACTGTCCGAACTTCAGGGCAACCCGCTGTAGACCAGATTATTTCACGTACGGACGTGGAAAACGTGGTTCAGAAATGACTTGGTCCAGGTTAAATACAGTGATCAGGTGTCACTGGGTAGGGGTTTTGCCACATTCCAAACTTCAGTCCCAGGCCTTTTCCTGCGAGAGCAACGACTGTAAGAAAACACTTCGCTACACGTGTACTGCCCTGTTTTCATTACAGTTCACCGTCGATTTTGCTCCAGCTCCCCAGCAGAGCTGAATTTACATGCAAAGAATGATGCTTTTCTACCCTTGCATCGACGGTGTGCAGTTCTTTTCAGACCTACTCAGCTCTATTGCCTTATGAATAAAGATCCGTGGGTAAGGGAACGGGTGCCGGTGCAGAAGCGTGACAGACGCCGGCACAAGTTGGCCCTCATTGTTTACGACGGGCTCCATCCGGCCAACGTTCTGAGGATCACCCAAGTGACTGCTCTGAACGAAACATAACTTTTTGATTAACTCGTGCTTGGGTATGGCCAATTCGTTCCCCTCGACACCTTTCACATCGCCCTCTTGGTCTAGAGAACAGGATGAAAACTCTTTTGTCAAATTGCAGCTTCCGCCGACTCGTCCGCTCGTCTCCCCAGTATACACGGGGCATTCAAGCACAAGTAATACTCTGCTTGAGATTTTACCCAAACGAACAATATTTAATCCTTGGTCCGACTTTGACGGCAAGGTGAGAACTGCACGTGATGATAGCAGAACTCTTATCGCTTCTCTCCCTGACAAGGAAAGGTTTGAAGTTGGGTGCAGGTTTATTGGAGCTAAGCAGCAATTAACAGAGAGTTTTATCATAACCTCCGAGACTAATACGTCGCATGTTGCATTGAGTGCTTCTGCTTCTGTGGCTTGTGTTTATGGAAAGCTCAACAAAAGGCCAACAATCGCTACCGCTGGTTACAACAAACGCATTCCATCGTCCGTGTTCCGGTACGGTGGGTCGCCACCGATTGATTTGGTCTTCCGTCGTTCTCCAGCGTTTTTGTTTTCGGAGGGTATGGACCTGAATCAAGAACAAATCATTTTGGTGGCAGGAGTAGCGAAGGGGTCGTCAATGCCGCTCATTCCAGCTCCTGCTCAGGAGAATTCTTCAGTGCATGTTGCCGCCGCGCACAATGGCGGATTTAAAACGGAGGGGAAGAGCTGGTACGTGAGAATGATGTCACAGGCCTTGATACACGGCATGCATACGAAGAATGGGTGCGTCTTATTAACAAACCACAACGACGCCATGTTCATGAAGGTTAAAGCGCACAGTGGGAGGAGCGGATGGAAACTGGAGGTCGAGGTTTCCAGGCTTTACAAGTGTAACGCGGACGAGTCCTCGTTTCATGGCATCATCGCGGTGCTCCGCGAAAGCGACACCAGCCCTGACAGGGGCGATGAATTGCAAGCAGCGTTCAATGATTTTCAACAGACTCGCCTGAGGAAGAACCCGCGTGAAAGCTCTGGGCCCAATGATAGTAGTTGCAACGTTTTGAAACCCGAGGAGATAACAACGGGACTGGGCTCTCGTGTCAGTGAGGCGGCATCTGATCGTAATGGCACCAAAGCTGCAAATACGGCAGCATATATCCAGAACAGACATAAGCGTCCGAAAACCCAGGACAGCGCATTATTTGAACAAGATGCAGCACCGTTGTATCAGCCAGAACTGATCCGCCGTTTAATGGAGGCTTCAGATGACATCATCACGACGGACGGACACTCGACGGTGTTGCGGAGCTGGAATGGTGACATGGAAGTAGCCGTGAAGTACTGGAACTGCGCCAGCCAAGAAGGATTAGATATGATCGTGAACGAGGCTGAGTTGTTCGAGGAAATCGCAGATAGATGTCCACGCTTGTTAGGGACGGTGTTACCGCGTGTAGTGGCGCTTTGGAAAGAACCAGCCACGGACACAGTGGTCGTGACAGAGCACGTGGGAGAATCTTTGAGCATAGAAACGAACGAAAACGGGCTCAATGAAGTTTTGATGTGTGGGACTGTTGTGCTTGGCAGCAGAGATAGTGAATTGCTAACACAAGCGGCGCACGAAGCACTTAAAGAGCTTCATGAGACTGGATTGCGACACATGGACATCGGCACGCGGAACATGAGGGCGAAACGAGAGATTGATGAGAAGGGAGCAGTGATCTGGAGGGTGTGGTTTATTGACCTTGGGCTGGCGTACTTTTCACAGGATGACCGTGATAAAGAACAGGATGAGAACGATCTACGACGTGCATGTGCCACCAAGTTCAGTAGATCAACATGTGACACTGCCGCACCCGTGGATTCCAGCGAATCGACGAGTGACGACGAGAATGAGGATTGTTTCCCTTAGAATACGGTACACCATATCTGGTGTATAACCATGTACAGCAGTCGTCCTTGATGAACAGCAATAGTACTGCGCAGTGGGCAGTAAAAAGGAGGTTGTAGTCCAATCGAGGACACCAAATTTCAGAAGACGGTCAACTCATGTGCGGCCGATTGTCAGTAACGGACTGCAGGATGCAGAACGACAGGAAGATCAACGGCTTTGAAACCTCTCCGCAAGTTAGCAGTGAGCTTCAGACTATCTGATCACTTCAGTTCATTCCGACATGTGGTGACCATGTTTGGGATACGCGTGCGTTACCCGGCTTTCACGTGCAAACTGCACAGAGAACTTCGGTGTAATACGCATGAAGCGCCAGTTGTATGAAAAGGATCTACACGGGTGACGACATACAAGCCAAAACTCTTTACCAAACAGATTAATAATTTCTTTCATCTCGGAAAGTGTGTCTGACTGCGATCTCTCTGTTCTCTACCGGACGTGCAAATGAGTAGTTTCAATAACCCGTCGAAGGGTAATGTGGAATAGCCTCACGTACAATATTCCTCACTTGTCCTCATTCCAATCTTTCCCTGCATTGAATGTGAGATGCCACGCGACAAAAAACTGTGAAACCAAATTCTACCTGTGAGAGCACACGTGCGCGGTTTGATCTGAGTACTGAACAGATTGCGAAGAGCATGGCTACCATTCTCATACTGCAGATTCGCCATTCGCATTGATCATCAGAGCATCTCTACTATGCGCAGACACAACATCTGAAATAGTCAGGTCTGGGCCAATGGCCAGAGGAGTGGATGTGTTCCTAGCCTCGCCACAAGCCCATTGCCATGTACATCTTCCATGTCCAGAATTTTGTGCTTGAGGCGCCAATGGGCAAGACTGCGAAAAGAAAAGTCATCGCGAGGACGAACAATTGGTCAGCTTCATGGCAGCCGAAATGTGCTTAGTAAACATGTGTGGAACCTCTCCCTGCTTGAGTGGCACTCTGACGCAACGTGTTTACCAGTTACAGTTTGTGGAAGGGCCTTTAAAAAGCTTTTTGAAATAAACTATCAAAGCCTTGACTTTCGAAAAGTAAACGACTCCCCTTTGGCTCTGCATAATGCACTGCGTGCGAAGACTGTGCATGGCTTCACTTCACCTCAATGCATTGCGTGCAAGGGCTGTGCATGGCTTCACCAGAACCGCCCCGGAGGAGATGCACCTTAGCGCTTCGAAACGATTGATGGAACATATTATCCAGAACGCAGCAGAATCCCAGAAATGTTAAACATGGTCCGAGTCGTTCCATCTGGTCGCCAGCGTTGCGTGGGCATACAGTACAGTATAACCAACAAGGCAGAACTGACACGTGTGATGTTCACACCGTGAAGGCACTGTGTGCTTACAGTTCGACTAACACTCTTTAAACCCTTTGATCGTTTCGCGAAGACTTCCCATGCAAACGTGATTTTGTCGAAGCTCAGCTCCTGTGTTTCCTTCGTCACTGAACCTGCAGTTCAAGTGATGAAGGCTGCGGTGGAACAGGCCCAGTGTCCGAAACAGTGGAGAAAAACGACTGGAAGAGATTTTAAGGAAATTGCGCACCGTCGAACGGTACAATTTGAAACGGGGTTATCCGACGAAAGAGAGATGAATTTGGGTTGAGATTGTCGTTGCTGCCTTGCTTGCTCTCCTTTCCGTAATGGCCCATGGAGAGGGCTTCGCATTCCAAAAAGGGGACTTGCAAACGACCATGACTCGTGGAATTACTCAATTCGGCATTATTGCGCGAGTCCTCTCTGTACTGTACACCTATACGATGATTTTCAAGCATCAGTGGCTATGAGAAGCCTTTCCTGTTGTTGTGCCCTTCCTGTTGCAACGAAAGACCGCTTTCACCACAAGATACCATTCATGGGGTCCTCGTACCTCTTCGCCCTTCACCCTTGATTTAATTCTCAAGCCGCATTTCCATGTAACCCGCGTTTCCTCCCAACACTCGACACTTCCGCGAGGCGATGAGAATCAATGCACGCGATGATCCCCCCGTCCGATGCCCAAGCTTGGGCCCTGCCGACTACCCTGCTTCCCCATCTCCGACACAATCACCCCGTGCATCCGAACGCCGCAATGCACCGCCTCGTGCGCTCGTCTCCGTCTCATACGTCCCATCGTCTCCCATGGCACAGCACGCTCACTGAGCCTGGCAACAAGCCCTCTCTCTTACCCGATACCGCTGCAAAACACACCCCAGCCTTCCCAGAGTCTTTTTCTTGAACGCTGTGGAAGCTCCAGAGCGTCTCCAGCTCAACGTCCTCGGGACTCTTCCGCCCTATCTCGCCAACTCGGCTTACTGTCTCAACGGCCCGGGCGTATTTAACGTTAAGCACAAGGATGGCCAGGAGCTTGAGACAGAGCATTAGTTTGATGGATTGAGCATGATCCACGCTTTTCGGTTTGATGCCGCGAGTAATGGCGTCACCTATCAAAGTAGGTTCACTGGCGATGCCACTGAGCGTGCGATACAGTCTGTCCCGAAGGACCAATACAGGGCAATTCATATTTCAATGCGACAGCGCCCGGAGAGTGCGTTTGGTCGTCTGATGCACGCGTTCGGGCCACTGACGAAAGATCCCAAGCTTGGTGATGTGCCGTTCAACACGAGCGTCACCCTGGAAAAGCTACCGACGAGGGGCATTCTCAATGCGAGCACGGATGCAAATGTCATTCACAAGCTGGATCCAGAAACGCTGCGGGTTACCGACAGGTACGACTTTTCCTACTTTAGTCCCGAGTTGGACAAAAGCATGTGCCTGTCGCATGGGACTCTGGATGACGTCACTGGTGAGTACTTCAACTGCATGGCCAACTACAGCCCGGTCAAGACGGAGTACACCGTGTTCCGCATCGATTCTTCAGGCAAGGCAAATGTTTTGGCTAAAGTCAAGGACTTCACCTACTACATGCACAGTTTAGCGCTCACGAAGAGTTATGTCATCATGGCCATGGGCCCGGCTCAGATTGATCTTTTCCCTCTGTTGCGGGGAAAATCGTTCACTGAGGCTTGTGAAATGAGACCAAACACTCCAACCAGGTTCGTCGTGATCAATAGACAATCTGGCGGTATCGTCGCCGAGTATGAGCACGAACAATTCTTCAACTTTCACACTTTTAATGCGTTTGAACAGGATGGCGATATCATGATTGATCGGTCTTTGTTCAGCGATTGTAAAATTCTACAAGAACTGTGGATAGACAATATGACGCAGGGAGGCAACGTAGCCCGAGTCAAACCCGTGAGATTCACACTCCCCAACATAGCAGATGTCGGCGCCCGCTACTCGACCTCTATGCCAAAGGCATCATTTCGGGTACTGGCGGACGTAGCCTTGGAGTTTGCTACAGTCTCGCCAAGGAAACGGGAAAGACCATACCACTATGTATTTGGCGTTTCTGATAACGACGGGAAGCAATTCAGTAGTAGTATAGCAAAAGTGAATGTGGACACTGGAATCGTTACGTCTTATGTGTTGCCGCAACGGACTTTTGGAGAACCCATTTTTGTCCCAGATCCGAGTGGTAATGAAGAGGATGCCGGCTGTCTTGTAGTGCTGGCACTGGACGACCTGAAGGATAGCTCTGCCTTGCTCGTTCTGGACGCTCGTGCTATGACTGAGGTTGCACGCGCTGAGCTGCCCATGCGGTTACCGCCAAGCTTCCATGGGGCATTTCACACATGATGGGCCGATGACGGGTTTGTTAAGAAATTGAGAGATAGTTTTGCGCCTGTGGAAGAATGGCTATTTATCATAAGAAACTGGCCTAGCAAATAAATAGTGCCGAACCCTTGATCGGGCTCTGCGCCCAGGATGTATTCCAGTTGATATCGATCTCAATTCCCCTGAGACCGATCTACACCAGAGCCTGTGTTCTGTCCTACCTGGACCAGTGCGTTTGGTAGATGCTTGTAGTGGTGTCCGAATCTGAGCTTTCTCCGAAGGGAGAACGCTATACCCAAAACAACACCGACAATGATCAGAGCAATCGTAAGCACCGGCAGGCTATGCAACGGATTGGTCCTTCGCCGCGAGGTGCACGTGACGCCGGATTTCTTCACATCAAACAGGAATTCAGCGGGGTAAGATCTACGCACTTCCAACTTCCATTTGTAATCCCAGTAGCCGAGACCTAGTACACCGCCCAGGCCTTTGAAGCCAAACCCTGAAGTTTTGCTCACAACGATCCACTCTGGTACTTCAGAAGCTGGACCATACGGAAGGTATGTCAGAGCTGCGTCCAGACCTGCATCATCCGTTCCAGCCACGTAGAAGAGCAAGGTTCGTCTCGGGCCCGCACTAAGAAATGCAATGCCAGTTCCGGGCCTTTGAAAACACTTCAGCGAAGATATGCAGAAACCGTTAGGGCTGAATGTCACATCAGCGGACAATCCATCCATGTAGTATTTGCGAGCCATTCGGTTCACGCTCGGCCCACCGAGCAAAACAACGTTTGCATCATCGGATGATTGCAGCTGCCCCACGGAAACGCTGGAATCTGTCGTTACTTGAGCGGAAATCCCTCGAATGTAAAGAGAGTTGGAGTAGAATACGGCAAAATCTCGTAGTTTCACGTCACCTTCAGGAAAAACGACTAGTACTTTTCTGCTGCTCAGCACTCGAGCCGATGGGCCGGATGTGTCCGGTCCGCGCTCCGTACTTCGTTCCGTTTCCCATAAATCAGAATCAGAGCAAACGCTCCATATCACGGATCTCGTATCGGGCAGCTTTTCGTCTATCAAACTGACGCAAAAATCAATGTGCTCTTTGTCCTCTTCATAAACAGCAGACGGAACTGCTATGGCATGTGAAGAAGCATCGATCAGAAACCGGTCTGGACGCTGGGCGATACCATGAATCGCTTGATATCGAAAACGTCGCACATTTTCGGTTGATATTTTCCATGTTCCCCGCTCTGGATAGTCCCTCTCAACTCGAATTCTAGACAATTGAAATACAACTTCCAGTGACAATATCCGAAGTCCTCCTCTCGACCCAGTCGAAGCAGGGTTCATTGTCATCAAGCTAAATCGCTTCGGGAGCTGTGGCTTTTGGGAGGTTTGCAAGTGTCTCTGGATGAATCGTTGGAGTCTATCATCATCCACTACTCCATCAAACCAATGGCCTTTCCCCGGAATCTCGCTGAGCCCCACCACGCTGGGCTGGAAATTGTGAAACATCTCGTTCTCTGTCAACAGGCGGCAAAATCGCCTTAGGTTTGATGCTGGGTTGAGGAGAAAAGAAAAGTTAGTAAGAAGCTATTCGTATGCTCAATGTTCGACCAACTTGTCGCCGAAACGAAAACCTACGGGGAACGTTGTCATCGTCAGATCCAACACGGGCGAGAAACGGTATTCCCAGAAGGTTCTCAGCATAGAGATCGGCGCTGTATTCTGAAGAGGCCAAAGAAAGCAAAGCTCGACTTGCAGCGTCTGAATAGGGCAGCTGCTCTTTGTAAGCAGCTTCACCAGAGGTGCTTAAACGCAACCATCCCATTGCCGGAAGAGCTGCAACGAGCATGTCGGGGTAGTGAGTACTCAGTAATAGAGCCCCATGCCCGCCCATGCTATGGCCAGCCTGCAACCAGCGGTCTCCTCGAACCTTCCATAAGTCTTTCTCGTCAGTCGGCACTCCTGGCAGGTCCTCAGCGAACTTTCTCAAAGCAGTGATTGCGCTGTTCAGTTGTGGTCCCTCCCAGTTCATTCCGAACTTTCGTCTACCAGTGGGCAGTAGAACCCAGCTTTGATTTTGCACCTGATATGATTCTGTCCAAGCTCGACCTACCGCATCCACTCCTGCACCATGCGTAGATAGGAGCACGCTGCACTTATCGTCTCCAGCGGGAGCGCCCACACAGTTTTGTCGAGGAGGCAAGACAGCTGCCGCCTGTACTGAACCATCGACATCAATGTAGGTAAAGTGGTAGCTCGTCAATTCGCTCCACACGGCGACATCGAAAGAGAGTTCAATCAAAGACTCATGTTGAGCGTCAGCGATCTGATACGACACGGCAATCGTGATGTTCAAAGATTCGGGCAAACGTCCGTCAGCTGCTGTTTGGTTGAGAAAATCCGGCTCCGTGAAAAAGTCGATTCTAAGTTGGTGCACTTGTCGTGGGGCAATGCGAGGAAGCGGGAAATGGGAATCTGATTGACTCTGGGGCCTGAGTTTTAATCCATCCGGAGCATCCCTTAATTCTGCCGAGCCTCCTGTTGCCCACTCCTGATCATGAGTATTCATCAACGTGAAGGAGCAGTGGGCCCCAGCCAAGGTTGCAACAGCCCTATCATTCCTCATTTTCAAAACAACATGAGGAGTCACAATATCATCAATCGTTAAGAGCAGGTTTGACGATAAACCGGCAGGATCGGTGAAAAAGTTACAATAAAACGAAGACGAGTTGCTGAAAGAGGAAAGTTGCACAAGGATCTGATATGAGCCCGGCCACAGACGAGCCGAGCATATTGACCTGCCATCTTCATACACATCGCCTGGGCATGAGATCTCTGAGGACGGAGAGCTCAGATTTACCCTAGACTCAAAGCTCGGGAAGGCTTGGCGCAGCTTGATGGTCGCGGGATTCGAACATTGCACAAGATGCGGGCGACCGATATACTTTTGAATGCTGAAGTTGGCAACTGCCCAGGCATTGTACGGAAGATGGCGGTCGGCGTCCGGAAATGGGGCAGTGATAACGCCTTTGGCTGACTTGTTATACGGACAATCCCTCCAAGAAGCTTTACCTCCAACGGCGGACTCAGAAGGAAAGGTTTTGAGAGAAAGAAGTGTGTCTAGTACAGTGGAATAAAAAGGAAGAACCTTCAAAGGCTCGAGTCCACGTTCTGATGAGGTATACGGTAATGGACCAAACGCACGATAATGGCGAGCTATCGGGATGTCTGTAGATGCATTGGAGAAACTGAAAAGGGCAAACAGAAAAAACGCAAAAGTGCCCCGTGGAATTAAAATGAAGCCCGGCATTGGCTGCGATGATGAGAGTAGCTTGATACCTCTACCTAACTCGCCCGAAGGGATGAGAATAGGATGCTGGCGCGAAGGCGTGACATTAAAGGTGATAAATAGTCGATGTAAGGGACGATTTCAAGACATCCTCGCCACAGAAACGATTGAATAAGAGCAAGGAATAAGCCTGCTTCACTTGTGGTGGACAACTGTAGGTAGCAAAAGTTGCAGCAAGCGTTCAGGAGGGCATCGTAGGGAGACCAGCCGTATCGCTCGGCTCCCGCATGTCAGCTTTCGGAAAGCGCTGTGAGGCAGACTGAAATCGATGTGGCGAGACGGCTGCTATCTGTTGACTGTTGACAGATGTGCTGCTGCACTGTAACGCTCAGACTTCAACGTACGGTGTCTCTTGCGGCAGCATCGGATCCCGATCTCAATTCGGCCACAATGAACCAGATTACTCTCAGAGCGAAGCACAAGCGTGGCCACGTGGCCACGTGTTTTCGACAGGTCCAGAACTACAATGTAAGCTTTTCTTACACGTGTTCGGGCAATATTTGATCTCTGCGTATGCGGCCCTGTGAATTCGAAAACAGCAAGCATCCTTGAAAGCCATCGAATCGACCGTGCTCCCGCTGTGTCGCTCGTCGTGCGGAAACCTCCCTCGCCCAAGCTATTAACCCCCAGTTCCCATTTCGCAGAGACTCGCAGTCGTGGAACTTGTCTTAATCTCCCTGTGGGCGGCCCATTTATTCTCCCAGATAGACTCCCTCACGGCAAGATCATCCTAGTCGTTGCGAAGAAGCACCACAGGGACCCATTTCTCATGTCTCGTATTTCATCGTTCAGTTCACCGAATGCCTAACTTCTAATAAGGTATTACTCAACTTTCGTTCGCCGACGTGGGGCCATGCATGCATCATCTGTGCAGTGAAACCAGAACGCAGCCTTCTCGTCGTCTGAAAATATCCCGATCACCCCATGGTTGTGAAAATCACGTTCACGCCGTTATATGGCGTGCATACCGACCATCATGCGCTTGCATTTGTTCTTAGCATTGATCATTTCAATATTCTACTTGACTGCGGCTGGACATCTGCCTTCGACCCACAGTATCTTGCCAATCTCGCCAAGGTGGCACCCTCTATTCACGTCGTGCTTCTCTCCCACCCGGACGTTGCACATGTCGGTGCGCTTCCCTACGCTGTAGCCAAGCTCGGTCTCAAAGCTCCAATTTTTTCGACTCTCCCCGTTTGGCGAATGGGGCAGATGTTCATGTACGATACGTTTCTTTCGCTTGAAGCGCAGTACCCATTTGAGGTGTTCAATCTTGATGACGTTGACGCCGCCTTTGAGTTGTCGTCTCATCCTGAAGGTCATCCGGCAGGTCATGCCGAGGGTGCCACTCGATATCATCTGCTAAAATATCAGCAACTCTTTCCATTAGATCCCTTTCCGAAGGGAAATGGAATCGTCATCACACCCCACGCTGCGGGGCATATGCTCGGAGGGACTGTATGGAATATCACGAAGGATACCGAAAGCATTGTGTACGCAGTAAATTTCAACCATCGAAGGGAACGGCATCTCAATCCCACTACCCTGCCTTCATTCTCTCGGCCCAGTCACTTAATTGTTGGCACATCGGGAGCGTTGACACGCACAGCTGCGAAGAAGACAGGCGAACTAATCTCGCGTATCAAGTCCGTGCTCAGGTCTAGAGGGAATGTGTTAATCCCAGTAGACACGGCAGGAAGGGTTATCGAAATCGCTGTTCTTTTACATGACGTTTGGAGTACTGATAAGGACCTTGGTCAAGTACCCCTCGTCATTCTTCATGATTTATCAACAAGGACTTTTGAGTTTGCTCGTAGCATGATAGAGTGGATGAGTGATGAAGTGGTGCGCAAATTCGATATATCGCGCGAGAATCTTTTCATATTTAAGCACATAAAGCTGTGTCGTTCGCTGAAGTCCTTGGAAGCTTACTCTTCGCCGATGGTTGTCCTTGCGTCGTCGGCATCAATGGAGATGGGGTTTGCGCGACAGCTTTTTGCGAGGTGGTGTCAAGATCCTCGAAATGGTATTATTCTCGTAAACCAGCCCGAACCCGACACATTGTACTCAAGATTATTCAAACATTGCAAAGAATCTGCAGATGAAAAAAGGACATCTCCGCTCTCTATGAAGCTTCTAATGAGAAGCAAGGTCTATCTTCAGGGCCAAGAATTGGAAGCATGGCGGGAATCTGAACGAATTCGCATTGCCCGGGAGCAAGAAGAGGAACGAAAAATGCTCGAGCAGCAAAGATTGGAGAAAGAGGCTGAAGATGCTGCGCTGTCCGAGATTTCCAATCCAGCACAAGGCAGTAGCACCACTGGAGGCATGAATCAAGCCAAGAAGCTGACAGAGGATTCGCTGGCAATCACAAAATCAGTCCCAGATCTGCAAGATCCCGAAGCATACGATAAGCACACCTACGCTCAGCTCCAACGCATAGGAGTAATTTCTTCGAAACCCCAAGTTCCTGTGTTTCCCTTCTCAGAGACGCACCGGCCGTCATGGGACGACTACGGTCAGATACTAGATACTACCCGTTTTATGATCGGCGAAGACCCCGGCGAAGGAGCTCCTAATCGCAACATCCAGGCAACAGAGGTCAACGAAAACAAGATTGAAGAAGATCAGTCGGCTGGGGAGGTTATTCCGACAAAGTACATTGAAGAAGAGCTGGTGTATAATGTGAACTGTGCTATTTATTATGTCGATAATTCTGGGCAGAGCGATGGTGATTCCCTGAAGCGGCTGGTTAAGGAGGTCGAACCACGGCACGTAACGTTGGTTGCTGGGACAGAGGAAGAAACAGCACATTTGCAACAGTTTCTCTTCTCAAACTTGTACAGCGCAACTAATCTGCGTTCCGCTGGAAAAGAGAAAAATTCGACGGATGTCAGATCAGTTGTTGTAGCGCCAGCTCGGCTAGAAACTGTGGAGATAACGAGCCATACCTTTGTGCGTGCTGTGAGGCTACAAGACGCAATGGTTGCAGAGCTAGCATGGAGCCAGGTCGGCTTCTCAGATATCGCATTCCTTGACGCGAGAGTAGATGCAGATAATAATGGAGAAGGACAGCTAATTTTGAGGGACCCAAAGGCTTCTGTGCTAGACCATGATGATAGTATGGAAATTGACCATCCGCAAGTAACTTCTAATGAGATCCGCAGCATTAACGTTCAGTTTGCGGGTCATCCAACCGTATTTGTTGGAACTATCATGCTAAATAGATTGAAGGACGTGTTGTCCAAGGCTGGGATGAAAGCCGAATTTGCTGGTGGGGCGCTTTGCGTCGAAAACGCAGAAACTGGTGCTGTTGTTCTTTTGAAGAAAACCAGTGCTCAACAAGTGGTGATGGAAGGAGCCCTATCAGAAGAATACTTCTCAGTCAGGGACCTTTTATACGAGGAGCTCGTAATTCCACAATGAAGCAATGTGAGCGCATAGTTCCGGCCGTGAGCGGTGTAAATGTTATCAAAGGACGTATGTAGGCTAAATATACTGCTGTTGCGTATTTTCCAAATCGTGTATTTCTATCTGTTTTCTCCCTCGCTCTCCTCAGCTGGCAGAGGAAGAAAAAGACGCATCTCTTGCTGTTTTAAAGGCTGCGGATGACTGGTTTCGTTTCATACGTTTAATAGCATCAGCATTCAGTCAGGCAAATTCCCTTTTTATGATCTAGTTGTCATCTGATGTTCGAAGGTCCCCATCGCCACTTGCAAGTCCAAATGATTTCGTTGCATGTGTCAGGTTCATTTCACAATCGATACAGTACACTACTACTTTCACAGGAAATACAGTGAGCCGTATAACCTCATTCGAAATGGATTGGTGCAGCATGGCTTAAAAATGTTATGCGATCATCCATTTCCTTCGTCAGATTCGCTGCAAACAATTTTTCTACGTCGTCATCACTCATTCCTAACAGCGACTGGAAAGGTCAACGAGAGTACTTTCTTCAAGCAAAAATGCGAAACAGACAGAAATTTTTTCATGAATCGACTCCCTCTGGCTGTTTTGTTGCCCTTCGTGCAATACAAAAACCTTGTTGAACATATACTCGGGAAGGAGAGGAGAGTTTTTTATTATCAGAAAACAGTGAAAATAGTACTCTCAGAAGACTTATTCTCCGTGGATAATACGTCATTTCGGAGTGCGAACTGACAGGGCTTCGAGAAAGAGAATGCACCAGTCGACAGTTTTGATCGATTTCATCTTTTGCACTTGGCTGTGTGCCTTTTTTTAATGTTCAGTTACTTCTGTGTCTTTATTTCTTCCCAAACGTTCTGAAACCTCCACAGATACGAGTAATTTTATGCCGTGGAAGGCCACGTGCATATACGTTCAACTTGCATTGCGCACACCACCACTCCTTTTTCATCTAAATATATCAAATACAATACACTCGCTGTTGAATGGAGTCAAAGAGTTCTCGCAGTTTTCCTTTCTATAGCACCTTCATTCCGGAGGGATTGTGTCAATAGCCCTTCGAAAATTTCTGACGGCTACAAGCTAAGACACAAGCGCAGAACTGAATCAACTTTGGAAAGGCCTCGGCCTACAATTGTTGGTTTCCTCTTTTCTTCTTTAGATTGTCAAACTCAAGCGCAACTTTGAAAATGGGGAATCAATCTTCGTTGATGACAAAAGGTAAGCAATATTCATCGTCCTTGAAGATCGATACCACTGCTCTTTCTCTGGTAAATATTTTGGTCCTAACTGATGCGTCATCTTGTGATTGATAGTTGGGAAGAGGAAAGGCATGCGCCGCCAGCAGAGCAACCGAAACACAGATCCAAGTTCTGCGTCAACAGCTGGACAAAGTGTCGCAACCAACCCAGGCAAAGGAAGTTCCCGTGAGCCTTCTCAGAAAGTGCCGACAGATTTGGTTCATCCAGTCGAAGTGAAGCAATCGGTTGATGTTAAGAACACTGAGGTTGAGCAGAGAGATTCGGAAATTGGCAAAGTCCAGGACAAGAACGAAAAAACCGTCCTGTCTAAAGTCGATGGTCCAGATTCGCAGCCTATTTCAAAATATGGGAAGCCCGCAAAACTCGGTTTGAAGCAAATCAACTACATCAATGTCCATCGCAAAGACTACACCGGTCGTATTGAACTCTTGCAGGGTTCTGTAGAAGGCCTCGCGCCTGAAGATGAGACGGATCTTTTGATTGTATACTTGAGGGAAAGGGGTCAGTACAAGGCAAATCAAGACTCTGCTTTGGCTGCGCTTAATCGGGCGGGGTATTCTCTTGCTCAACTTGAAAAAGAGACTAAGCCCCAGCCATCGTACCGAAGACACTACCACTGCTGGCTTTCCCGTCCACTGCCCAAGCCACGCCCACCTGGTTTAGAGTTCAAGAGGCTCTTGGTTTATGAAGACCCAGGTGAAGAACTAACGAGAGACGATAACATTATACTGGATATTATGAAATGCTTGACCACCGTTATTGGTGGTGATGTGCAGATTCAGTCTGTGCTGATTCCTCTTTCTGGTGCGCTTCTCTCTCCAAGCCTCCGGAAGCATTTCGTGAAAGCAGCAGTTCAAGTTGCATACTCTTGGCTACAGATGGGGCTCCCAGTTCGTGAGGTGAAAATCCTTCTGCCTGATACTGATATAACGAAAGACTTGGAAACGTTTGAGAAGGCAAAAAACAAGTTGACGAAACCAAGGGAATTTCTGATTCAGCAGAGTATTAACTACGACGTATTTTTTTCGTACGCTGAAGGAGACAAAGAAGCAGCGACAGAAATGATGGAATACTTAAGAGGGAAGAACCAATCCATTCGGATATTTGACGCGGAACCAAGGGAAGTTTCTGTACGCCAAAGAGGCGTCGTTAACCAAGAAATCACCGAGGCCATAAGTCAGTCGAGGATATTCTTGTCTCTTTTATCTGATGATTACTTTCATTCTGTCGAGTGCACCGAAGCATTCTCTCTCGCATATTGTCGTGACTTCGATTCTCAAGGAAACTTCATTATTCCCTTGTTCTGGAGAAGCTGTGATCTTACTCCACTGGCTCGCCGACTGGTTGCAACAGAGGGCGTGGACTGCAGAGAGGCATCTTTTGACTCCGCCCAGATGCTCTTAGAGGAAATACTCTCCGCTCTTGCCAGCCTGAAAGAGGTTTCGGCTGGTGAGGAATCGGAGGAAATTGGTTTTGATGGACAGAACCATGATCATGCCGAGGGCGGAGCTGCGAACATGAACCTCGCCGATAAACTCTTGATGGCGAAAGAGAAGAATGACGACACTGGAGCTGGACTGTTCGACCAAGCCGACGATATTCCTGACATCCCAGAGAAAATACCGGATGAGGCAAGTGAGGTCTCTGCAATGTTCTTTGATAATATCTGGCGAGATCAATGGGCTACCGACTTTTCCTCTATTGTTTTCGGTCCTCGGATCGGGGCTGGTGGATTTGGAGAAGTTTACAAGTGCAAGTGGAACAATACCATGGTGGCCGTGAAGACGTTACAGAAAATTGAGGATGACGATCCTCAGGCAGTTATGGCTGAATTCATGGTGGAAATGAAGCTGATGTCAAAACTTAGTCATCCAAATGTTGTAGCTTTCCTTGGTGCATCTATTACTGCTCCTAAGCTTGCTATAATTCTCGAGTTTATGCCAGGGGGATCTCTATATCGTGCTATTCACCGTAGAAGGCGCAATAACTTGGGACCTTTTCCTCTCTTGAAGTCCCTTTGGATTGCGTTTGGAATTGCGAAAGGGATGACTTACTTGCATTCCCAGTATCCTGTGATCATTCATCGAGATCTAAAATCCCCAAATATTCTTCTCGGGACGAACGTTCGCGAGGTGAAGATCACTGATTTTGGACTGAGCCGTTTAAGGGTCAAGACTTATGTGAACACTGGTCCAGGGGGCACACCTGAGTGGATGGCACCCGAACTCTTGCGACAAGACCCATTTGAAGAACAGAGTGATGTGTATTCGTTTGGTGTAATTCTTTGGGAACTGATGATGTGTGAGAAACCTTGGAAAGACGACCACCCCATGCAAATTGTCTTTAAAGTGGGGTCCCGTGGCGAAAAGCTGGAGACCCCTCCTCCAAATGTATGTATTCCCGAGGTGCGAGACATGATTGTTAAGTGTTTCTCTGGGGACCCATTTGCTCGACCGAAGTTCTCTGAACTCACGAAGACCTTGGACTACTTCTGCCATGACTCAGATCTCAACAAGAAAAGTTAGATTTGATGAGCTGTTGTGATATAAATTCATGTTCGTATCCACGTCCAACTGTTTCAAGATTTTAAGTACGGCTGATTTGAAGTCGTTGGTTGAGAGCCATCTTCTCACAAGCTTGCCAAATATTGTAGTTGACTACTGATTCAAGACCGCAGTTTCGCTTGTCCATGAATCTTTCTCTTTTTTTGATTCTGTCGTCTCGTTGAGAACAATTGATCCCACTATTTCCCAGCGATAAATGTTGCTCTTCCGAGAACCTTGTCAGAGTAGTTCCCATCCATGCTGTTGCAATAGCTCTATAATAATCCTAGGAGCATTGAGAATAACTTGATAAACATTTCCATCACTGTCTTTAATATGATGCCTATTGGTTCTCGATCAGGGCGAACGGTTAGTGATACTGCATTACGTGCGCATGACTATCCAAAAGAGCAGCAAATATCCGGGAACAGTTTGAGTTCTAAGTCGCGTCAGTGTCATGAGCGTGCCACCGGTCGGTTCGGAATTTTCAGTGTAATGACCCTGCTCAGAATCTGTGTATGAACTCAGCGCAACATGACTACTGTATTGCATAATCACTTCGATGTTCTTTCTAAGATCAAGACTGAAAAGGGTGGTTGCCGACAAGGTTCGTTTCCACATGTTCTTGCGTCCATCCTACTCAGCACCCGCTTGGACATCGCGCCGATCATCTACTTCTCTAGGACCATCTTGTAAACCGTGATTGTTGTCGTTCTCGTTCTCTGCAGGGTGCAGTAGCTCTTCCACACGTGGTAAAGCTGGAGGTCGCCATGCAGGTAGTAAAGACCCCACGAACCCGTAAAAGAACGAATAGATGAAGCACAAAACGACTGCTCCCCTTCCGAATCGACTAGACCCCCTCGGACTCTGCGCGTTCGGGTCCTGGTCGCTTTGGGAGGCTTGCGTTCCTTCTTCGTTAGGTCCTTGAACTCTTGGAAAGAATGCTTCAAAAAGTTGAACTGGATTCGGTAACGCTATCCCCGCTATTCGACCGAGAAACCCAAGTCGATTCGTTTGCCAAAGGTATATCACAAGAGCAAGCGACAGCAGAATGTATACGCGACGAGGAGTTCCCTCTTGGCCAAGAAGATAGACGACAAATATGAGTTTCAATATTAGGGTCCAATTAACCTCGAAATGGAAGACATATCGGCGAACACGGGCTCCGTCATGTTCAATACCATGATTCTCTTGAGGGTTAAGATTTTGATGCATTCCTTCCTCCGCCCCGTTTCCTATTCCAAACTGAAACCCAAGCCCGGCATCTGGCCCTTGAGGGCGATTTTGAGGTGGTGCAGGAGCCGCGTTGTTTCGGAGTCCGGCATTGAGGTCTGTCCATGCCTGGATATGGGCTTGAGCATGCATCACAGCTGCCGCTGCTGCTTGAGCCGCCACACGCGCATCAGCCCCCTCTCTCACTCCCCGAGCTGCTGCCGCTGCTGCTGCTTCCTGAGCACCCGTGTACTGAGCTGCAAGACCGTCCCCAATAATTCTTTCCATTGCCTGCAGATGCGCAGCATATGATGCTTGGTCCATTGGAGCGAACGGCAGCGGTCCTTGGGGCGCATTTCGATGTGCCTGAACGTTGCCAGGAACATCTGACGGTGGAGGAGGATATGGGAACTGCGGTGGCGGGTAAGGCAATGGATACATACTCGGATCGGGTGGTGGTACGCCAGGCACAGGCGGATAAGGGTATCTCTGCCCTTCTACTCCCGGGGGGTATTGTTGGAAAGCAACATATGGATGAAACATATTGTTGTAGTTCTGCGGGGGTGCAGTATTCGGGTGAGGGTATGAGGGAGGCACCGGCGATGAGGAGGGCGCACTCGACTGGTAGGGCACGGCACTTGAACCGGCCAAAGTAGAGGTTCTTGAGGTGGATGCACGAGAAGTAGCAGCAGCGGCGCGATGGCGACTAGACACCACGAGGTGTATGATGTGTTGCGCCGGACGATCAGTAGAGGTTAATATAGTTTCCAAAGAGTGGCTGTCTTTCAGAAGCTTTCCAGCGTAGATGAGGCGTTGCGAGGTCACTGACGGAGAACCAGGGTAGGAAGATGTAAGAAGCTCTTTCAAATTGCGCACTGTGGCTTTGACATTGACATCCAGCGTAAATGGCATTGAGCCTGGTCTATCAGTAGGGTTCTTAACGAGAATATTGAACATTGGGCTTTCCGCGCTTTCCGTGCCTTCCGGTGACGACGCATCCACAGGTGGGTTAGAGGGACTTGACATTTTTGCGACTCTGCGGTGCGGGTAGTGAGCTAAAACGTATAACGAGATTACTTGTGAAAGAAGTGAGCGGTACAGCGACGGGAAATTGAATAGCCTATAAGAGTCGAAGCTGTGCCAAAGTGAGCAGGCTTGCGATGTTCCGTCGAAACAGACGCGGCTTGTAGGACTGAGCCGCACTGGCTAGCGAACTGTAGATTGGGTACAGGAGAGGGAAGTCGGCGAGAGAACGAGTTGGGTGTAGGCCACAATCCAAATCGTAGTCAGGTTTGGGAAGGCAGCGGTTAGAACATACGAAGCTTTCTTGGCAGGGCTCTCGAAGCTTCTGGAAACCGCTTTCTACAGTCCAAGTGCAAAATGTCAGACAACAGTCTGTGGAAGGCATTTGGCCGCCCTCGAAGGCCAGACTGTGCTGTACAACATGCACGTCATCATGGGCGAAAAGTGGACACGTATCATGACGCAAATCGAAGAATATTTGGAAAATATTAATGCCAATGCAGCATCTGGAGTGGTATGGCCCGGCCCCACTTCACAATACTGTAGTGCATCTCATTTTGACTGCTTGGCCATGATTGCGAGTGGCGAAGCCGAAAGCACCCAAAGCGGTTTTTTCGCTTATTTATGTGGGCAACCTTTGATTGGGGCCTGCACTGTATGTACACGTGTACTAAACGTATATTACACGTGTACATTGTGTTACGATTGGGTCTGGACAGGGAGTGGCACAGTAAGCAGTACGATGAGATCATCCAGCCTGCGATTCAACGTGCTCTGTTAAGACCGGCCCGCTCATGTAAGCAACGTCGTCGCTTTTAGAATCACTACTATGGTAGGCGGGAGTGCACAAGGATGTTAGTAGCACTGCTGGAATGCGGTCGCGCGTAGCGGCGGAGGATAACAGGGGAAGAGGGAGGCGAACGTTGGGGATTTCGCCGACGGGGAAAGATCGTCACGAGATGGTCCTCGAGAGGATTGGTCGGCGAGAGGAGAATGGGTAGCGGATACCCCCGGGGAATCAGATGGACCCCGGACTTGAGCCCTCTATTTATTCGCCGCCGCACCAGCGGCGACCACAGTACAGCCACATTAAATTTAAATGTTTTTCGGGGCTACCCGCCGTCGGCAGACTGTCCCCTCCAACACACCCCCTGTTGGCCCAAGAAACAACTGTGACTTTCGCTGCCGCCACGCTGACTTCCGCCGCGCCGACGGCGGCGGGCGTACCTAATGTCGATGCCGACGACTTTCGCATCTAACTTCGAGCTCAGCGCGGGGTTTCGTATATCCCATTGGTGCTGAAACCTCGTCCTATGCCTCCACATCCCGTTCTATCCAAATTATCCACCTCATTGCCCATTTTCCACAAACTCTCTTATATCCTTCATCTAATTCCATCCCTCGCTTGACAACCCTTCAGCGTGCACGAGCATCATTGCAGATCCCCGTGTCGCCCTTGAACCTACAGAGCGCCGGAAGGCCCGGAATCGGGCGGCACATTCGGGTCAGCGATGAAGCTCGTCGTTCGCATGCTGGGTTCGCGGAGGAGGGTCGAAGCCGATGCTGTCATGTTCATGAGCACAAAGTGGAAGTCGACGGAGGTTCGCGTGCGCTACGGAGTGGAGGACACGCACATGAGCGTGCAGATGTTCGAGTTGGCTCTGTCGGTGAGTCCGAGCGGGATTCCAGATCTTGTCCAGTGGCTGCGTTCTCATGTAGACCATGAGTTCGCTGCCGGTTTGCTGGGACGTTGGGGACTGCTGGCCAGTGGGAAGACGGAGCACAGAGACCGGAGATGGGATGTCAAGAGGCTTTTCTGGAGTTCGGGAAACCGGGAAGGAATCCAACGCGATAAGTTGTATGCCTTTCATAGACCTTCTGGGGGGAGGAGGACGTTCTGGCATATGGATTTTTGGACGTTGGAGGCACAAGACGTTTTCTTGGGAGGAGAACTGGGCAGCCCGATATACAGCGACATCGAGGAAGCCCCATCTGGATCGCATACTCCGTCTTTCTCGTTGGTGTTTAGCAAGGAGAAAAGGCTCGAGTACATTTTATTGCTTGACACTTTCTGTAGAGAGAATCCAGATGCGTTTGTTTGCCTTGGTGGTCCCCGGATGCGGACTTCTTCTACAGCAACCATACAGTATCGAATGTCGGGGGTTCCAGTCTTTTCCCATTCGAGGAGCGGAGAATGCGTCAGGGCTTCGATCGGCAATGCCCTTCACGCCGCAGGCCAGGACGATTCAGCTGAAGCAGTTTTGCTGAGAGGCAAGATTGTGGTGCGTAGTCTCGGAGAAGCACAGAAGTGGCTTGAAAGGAACATGGGGAGATTCAGACTTTGTAAGGTTCAACATTCGATGCTGAAAAGCACTGATAAATGGTTGGAAGAGAGCAGAGAAGGAATCTTCCTTGTTCGGCTGAAAGGTTTGGATATTGAAGGTGCGGGGGTTGATCATGTTGTGGCAGTAGACGCTAACCGGTCTATTGTCCTAGACTGCGTAGAGAAGCTCGTCTTGAGGCTTCAACCTGGAGTTCTGGCTGCCTGTGTTGGAGACGGGAACCATCTCGACGAAGTTGCCGAGGTAAGGAGATTGGAAGTCCAGAAATCCGGCAAAGGGAAAAACAACCGCCGCAAGTCCAGACCGAAGCGTGGCGAAGAGAAGAAAAGGGAAGTGGAACGTGTTGTACGAAAGGCTGTATGTAGAAGGAAGAAGAGGGCTATTGAGTGTGAAGACGAAGAATAAATATCCACTTCTCAAGTAGATGGATTGTCCTTCGACATACGTCGGGCGTTGCGTAACAGCTCTTCGTGTACAACTCCACCCCTCATCAACGTGTTCAAGAGACGAAACATGACGACGTTTCGCTTAGTTAATGCGTCTGCTGGATTCTGCTGTCCATCAATCCACTGCATGACGGCGATTTCTTCATTTTCAAATGAGTCTCTCAACCTCGCCACCGTTGGACGAAGGCGATAATCGGCATCTTCGTGTAATGTGGTGATGGTTGAGTAGAGCCCTAGGGAATCCACTGTTAAGACAAATGGCAGGCATTTCGTAGCACCATTGAGAATGCTTATGCTCTGAGCCATGAGTGATCCTCGATCTGCCGAAGATGCTGCAGCCCGGATCTCTGCGCCTATTGATAAAAATGCGACACGCTTTTCCTTGCAGCTGAGCCAGTCTAGAGTATGAAATACATTCGCACCCCCTGCGGGCAGGAAAATCCCTGAGATGTATCCTGTCTGCCCATATGAAGATGTACCTTGACTGGCATCAGAGAAGGCCAAATAGCAAGGTTGTTCGAGAGATTTGGGGCTTCTGAAGGTCAGAGTTGGCGCAAGTGTTTTCAGTTCGGATAGTAGCTGGTTGGTGACGATCGGGTTGGAAACTTTGAGACGTCCGACGGCCTGTAGAAGATAGCTTGCTGCGAAGGCAGCTTGCGGAAGGATTCCATGACCTAGGAAGTTTAAGCTACCAGCTAAACCTTGATAAGCGGTAAGCTCTTCGAGAGTAGCTCTGTGTGAGCTCTGCCGCCTGCGTTCCCGTGTAAATGGCAGGGGATTGATACTGTCAACATATTCCTGCATGCCAAGGACGAGCGACCCATCTCCGCATTTGTGAATGTGAAGCCTGTTGAAGACTAAGTCTTTGTTCATCACGAAACTCCCGACGACAAATCGTTGAGAGATCGAGTCATGAAACTGCTGCATATGGCGTGCACAGCCGGCGATAAGGAAGTCATCGACGACTTTGGCCACCAATACCTCGATAATTTCTCTATTGGAGTAACGGACAAATAGCTGCAGGAGACCAGGTATTGGGAGGAACCCATTACTGGAGAGCCAGTCCTCGGCAACTAGTTGCCATAGTCGTCCAGACTCCACTATGCCGTAAGCGGGCTTGAGAAGGTTCCATAGCATTTGTGGAGATGATGCCCAGCCTGAAGGTGGACGAACGTATATATCGCGAGGGAGATTTCCTGCCTGGAGGTAAGCACCCTTTATGTCGATGGAGGCGACCGATAGGGACAGAATGGTTGCCAAGGAGAGAAGCAGGCGTATGATCGGAAATTGGGCTGTTGCGGAGTCTTTTCGCACAGAGTCTTTCTCTCTGTCTCGGTTTCCATGAGGAACCAAGCGGCATTTCAGACGGAGCCGTTCTTCCTCTGCATGGTTCTTAATCTGGAAGAAGTGATGCGAGGTGATCACGTTTGCACCTTTTGGAATTTCTCTAAAATGTAACTCCTTGTACGCTCCTGCGTCATGGTAGTTACTGTTTTCGTCAGCAATAGCTTTGTCTATGATCCACCGAGGCGCGAACTGGAGCTTGAACTCGGAGACTGGACCGTCTCCGATAACTCGCTTCATGTCATGGAGCACCACTTGCTCCGACGATTGCAAGGAATGAGGAAGATGAGGTGGAGACACTAGCGCAGTATCACCAATGTCTTTTCCGGTTCTGGCGGTTCATGTGTGCGAGTAATGTTGACTTGAGAGTTTTCCTTGGATGTTGGATATTCTGTACCAAACAATGCATTGCAGCGCTCTACTGCGTACAGACTGACGTCCTGGAGCGGTTTGTTATTGCGATGGGGCTTTTTAACTGAAGATCCCGTGGGGAAGGCGAGTGTGCGACCCAGTTAGACCATTCCTTGTCAATATCCAGATGGTCATTGCCTGCTCCTGGAGCGGGAATGTCCGGAAGCAACTGCGATTGACAGGGCTTCCGTGTTGTCAATGGAGGGGTGCTATTCGAGGCATTATTCGCAAGTTCTGGATATATTTCCGGTAGATCAGCAGTGATAGGTATTTCACTATCCTCATAATCCTCGTCAACCACGGAATATGACCTGGGGAAGATGAAGTCAATGCGGTCGAGCTCTTGAAGAAGAGGGGAGCTCGGGGCCTTCCGTATATCTTCATAGGCGGCCCGGATGGGCTTTCCGGCATGATCTTGCTCTCTGGAAAGAACTGCGAAGTGAGGATGGCAGTCTGGAATGTACGCGCTTTCCCAGAGACCAAATTTCGCGCTGCGTTTACAGAAATAGACTGCTTCATTCTTCGTCAGATCTTCAGCCGTTAGTGTAACAGGCACGCGTGACTTTTGGAACAGGCTGAGAGCTCTCCTGGCCATCTGCTCATTGTAGGCGAGAAGGAGTTTGGATGGAACCTTGGCTTGAGGAAGACTGACAAGGGCGGGGGTGTAACCGCGGGCGAGCTCAAAGCTGCTCATCGACCGACTTCCGTACAGGATGTTGCTGAGATAAACTGCTCGTGAGAGGATATCCTCTTGCTCCGGCTTCTTATCTCGACTTGGATCGAAGTAGTCAGCGTCCTTGAGGAGCCGCTGGATAAGTGTGCGAACGACAGAGTTCTTGCGT